AGTTAGATTTTCATTCAACCAAAAAGATAAAAACACATTACTTCTCTTTTGTGAAAATCGAAATTAAATTTTTTAGAAAAAAAACAGAATATAATTCATTTTCTGTTTTTTCTCCGCTTTACTATGGCATTCATATTTTATTTTTTAAAAAAAAAGAAAATTTTAAAAAATTACTAAAATCGATTACAAAAAGATTTGCTCACAAACTGTTGAATAATAAAAGAACAACTTTTGAACTCATGAAAATCGAAAAAATTGACACAAAAGAAAATCGTCAAATCATCGAAACAATGGAAATGCGCGTTGTGTTGCAGTGGATACGTGTGTATCTGTCTCTGTGCATGTTTGGATATGTTAAAATCATTAGCGGAGAATGATTTACGGTATACATATATATATATATATAGAGAGAGAGAGAAAATTTCACTGCTCATAGTTACGATAATAAATTTGTATAATCCATAATTTAAAAAAAGCGTTCAAAAAGTGAGAAATACATTGGAATTAGCAAAAAAAAAAAATAACGGGAAAAACATGAAAATAATAATTTATTTAAAGCTAAACAAAGAATACAATGCTCAACATTTTTATTATTTAATTAAAAAAAACCTGTGAAAAAGTGCATTTGATCTTAATGAGACACGAATACATAGAAATATATCTATATATGTGTGTGTGCATTCGAAGAAACATCGATGATTTGTGTTGCACAGCCAATGTATGCGCATGCATATAGGTTGGATTGACTAAATTTGATACATTCTGTAAATATCAATTCCGTACAGATTAAGCAGATAAACTCATTCAGTGTATTCAAATACTAGAAAGAAAGAAATTAAAAAGAAATAAAATAAAACATGAAGACGAAAATAAAAATCAAATAGAAGATAATTTTATTTGTAACCATGAATCGATCAATGTTAGATTACCATTAGAAACCTGGAAGCACTGGACGGCCGTTTCGTCCTGGTATGGGACTCATCAGCAGTGCGCATCCACGACTCCTGCACCTCGCAGGATTCAAACCCAGGACCTGCGGTATTGTAGGCGAACGCCTAACCATCGGACCACTGAGCCGGTATCTAACGATGTTAATGTCTAACTTGATCAAATTCACGGTGGTCTAACATTGATCGATTCATGGTTACAAATAAAACTTAACAATCTTCACAACAACCCCGCAAGGAGAAGACAATTTATAAATTTTCCTTTTAAAATACGGTGAAAAGTAATATTAAGCGCTTGTTGCAAACCAATATCGATTGTGTTCGTTGTTTATAATATTCGAGTTACGGAAATCCAATTGATTGTATGCGATAAAAGATATTTATTGATGATTGTGCAAAACTGTTTAATCACTCAATTTATGATCAATGTCCTATTTTATTTAATCCTTTATAGCTCCTCTGATTGAATTCTATAAGTTCAGCGTAAAATTTGCCCACTAGTTTATGTGATATATATGTAAAGGAGTCAAAATCACTATGTATGATGTTGCTAACTCGTTCTGTTTTCTTTCTGTTTCAGGGCGATCAAACACAAACGCTTTGGAAGCTGAAGAACAATCCCTGAGTGCTCTAAACCTACAGGATGACTCATAAGACATTGGTACACTACCACCCTATTCCTGTAAAAAGCCTGCGTATTCGATTTTCAGATAAAAGAGTGTCGTGACAACAACTTTGTGTTCTCTCTTGGTGTGAGGTGTTGAACTATACCTTGTGTGTTGTGATTTTAGATCCTCTCTGCCCTTCAGTGACTGCTGATTGCGCGTGTTACATAAAAAAAATTGTAACTGAATGAAATGTATCAACGTTTGCATGCCTAGACACATTTCAACTTGATGAAAATAAATTGTAACTAAATCACAAAATATTAATTGAAATTTTTAATAGTTAATGAGATAGATAATTCAACTTTTCTTTTTGAACTATTCACAGTTGTATAAATTTATTTTTTTTTAATTAGATTACACTGGTAGGACTGCAGAAATAGTTAGGAAATTGAACAGATTGCCAGAAATTAATAAATATGAACAAGTAGAAAAGTTTCAGTTGACAATTAATTATAACTTCTATAGTGCCTCCACATATATTTGAGTTCGTTTACATTTTTTGTTTGATTAAGCCTTTCGGTTAACTTATTTAACCAAACTATTTGTATAGCAAAAACTTAAATGTATCATTGGTTTTTATTATTGTCTAGTTTGTATGATCTGGTACGACTGAACATTGCTTACCGCCTACGCTCATATGCATCCTATTCGCTTTAATATTGATCTCTTAAATAACATGATGACTCAGACATTTTCCTATGTATATTATACGAACATTTTAATCTTATTAATTCATTCGTGCATTCTCATACACTAGCACGTTCGCTCACTAGTGTGCCTGCCCGTTCTGCTTGTTGTCCGCTATCCTATTTGTGATGTGCCAACGAACACTAAGAACACGTAGAAATTGGCCAACACAAATATTTTAATCTTATTAATCCATTCGCATATTCACTAATTCGGTTGCTTGTATGCCTACCCAGTCTGCTTGTGGTTCGCTGTCTCATTTTTGCGGTTTATTAAAAATAAACGAATTCAACACTTCGTATTTGCATTCTGATTTATAACCGTCAGCTATTATTTGGTGCTGATTGGCTAGACAAGCGAATTACGAAGTTTAAGAACATGTTGAATATCAACCGTCACAATGCTAGTGATAGATTGGCCACCACAATTCTAGAAATGAGAAAGATATTATTTTTAAACAGCGTAATCATTGATCACTCTACAACACCTAAGATAATTACTACCTATTATGAGTATACTTTAAAATATAGTCAGTCATTTGATACATAACACTTGATACGTTTGTATATCAGTTCAAGTTGCTGCATCATATTAGTGGAGAGAGATGGAATTGTTAGGCCAAATCCTAAGAGCAACAGAAGTTTATAACCGTATTCAGTGGTAATGGGGAAAACTTAAACATACAAGATATAATTCAAGAAAATATAAATCAGTAAAATACAAACAAAAACAAGAATTCATGAGGAATTCAAAACTTGAGGATTTAAAAGATAAGAAGGAGATTCACTCGCTCAACTGTAAATGCTTTTCAGCTAGATCTTTCAAAGTCTCAAAGTACTGGTAACAAATATCACTCTGACCGGTTACCAGAGAGTCTATACCTATTAACCTAGCTTAGTCTAATTGTCAATGTCTTTATGAACTGATACTATGTTTTGTTTTGACCAGCCACCTAATAAGTACAATTAAATCTATAATTTTACTAGTGATCTAAGCCTTGAGTCTTCGGTTCTGCAAAACTGTTATATACAATTTAAAAAAATCTGTACACAATCTATGCATTTGAATATTCAGTTGGATTCCTCATCAATTCACTTTTAAATTATCAACTGGAATAATTTCAATAGAGAATGCTCTTTAAATGAACTCTTGACAGAATGTGTAAACATATTAATAGAAAAATTAATTAATTAATTGTAAAAACGAAAAGGTTATCAATAATGTATCAAATGTATTTAAACCAACTGAAGTAATTGACCAATGGTCTTTGAATTAGTAATCAGAGAGAGGTAATACGCTAATGGTGTTTACTGTCTTAAAGTCCCTAAGTTGGATTCAGTTCAGGATCATGTATGTGTCCTTCAGTTAGCCGACTGAAAATATTGAATTTAAGCTTTGTACTAGTTAGCAATCGTCAGATAGTGATCAGCCAGTCAGATGCAACGTACAACTTCGTACGAAAGTACATCAGTTCATGTTGCCATACCACATCAATTGTCAATTCAAATCCATTAGTAGAAGAGGTAGTAAAGGTATTAGAAGTAATCCGACAGGTTAGGATTAGAAGATATTATTCAAGAAGTATGATTCAGTGAGAAAAGTTTAGAAAGTCAAAACTAGAGGTGTTGAAGAATCCAGAAAATTATGATTTGAGAGAACACGAAGGATAAATGCACCGGCGCCATTGCAAACGGCTTTGAGCCATGTCATTGAAGGTCTCTAACCATCGATTATTATCATCTCGTGGACCCCATCCAGGTTGCCTACATCTACCAACATGACTCAGTCCACTTGTCGATCACTTCATGGATTTGTGCCATGTTTTGGTTTGACCGCCCCTAACTTTCTTCCAACCTACTCCTACACTACAAAACAAAGCTCGTCGAGGCAGTCGGTGATTAGGCATACGCAGCACATGTCCCAACCACCTCAGTCAGATAGTGATAGTCTCTAATGTATTCATATCTATAGTATCCAACTTCATTTGTTAAAGTTGATAACAACTGGATAGATTTGGACAAAGATTTTAAAAATAAAATTATATGATAAAATCTTAAATTCAAAAAAAATAAAAAGAAAAAATGGAACACAAAATTTACCAATTATTTCGATTCAGTTGAAATTTCAAATTGACTATTGTTGTCTATAGTGGTGTCATTATGATGATAAGAAATGTTATTTCTTATTTCAAGTTTTCTTGGTGGTTTATTTGGTGCATTCAATGATACACGTGGACTAGAATTTGGAATGATATTTGGTTGAACTAATAGTAATGGTTTTATAGGTGGTGGTAATCCAGATGATAATAATGCTGCATTCTCATGTTCATTATATACAGATGGCATTGAAGATCTGTTTAAATGAGAGAAATCATCATTTATTCCAATGAAAAATTCTTTTCTTGTTTGTTCCTTAGATTTTTGTTGTTGTTCATATTGATCTTCAATAATTTCACGTTTATTAAAACTTGGTCTTGAAGTAAAACGTTTACTTGGTACACGACGAAAACTTGATGAAGTACTACTACACGAACGAATATCAGCTGGTCGTTGTACAATTGATTTACTTGTTATAGGAGTAGATGGTTTTGATGTATTTCCTCCTAATGATGTACAACTGCCAACAGTGGAAGTAGATTTTTTACGTTTACGAAAACTACTACTTCCAAACATATTTAAATTATGCAATTGATATTCCGTACTAAATGATGGATGAAAACGTGATCTTAATCGAAAGAGTTGACTTTTTTTCGGTTCCACAGGGACACGATCAGTAAGACGAAAGAAGGCATGATGTTCTACAGCACTTTTCCATAATATTTTACACTTTTTATTATCCGGTAAAACAAAACAAAATGCATGTTCTGTGATTTTATGCTAAATTGATTTTTGAAGTGAAAAGAGAAATGAAATTCAAGAGTAGAGGCAGTTTGTTTGGTAATGAATGAAAGGCATTATTATAATCATGAACATAATAATAGTAAATGAAAGGTGAACGACAACTGGTAACCCTATATATATAGATATGTAGAGAGAGAGAGAGTAATGGTTTGAATCATTTGCATATAATAGGTACTTACTTTTCATCAGTCCTTGCATCCTCTATGGATTATGATGATATAGTCATTTGATCACTGAAGTTTTAGAATAAATGGATTTTGGCTAACGGTGAACTTCAAGCTGCATATATGCTAACAAATATTGATCAGAAATTCTGTCCAAAATTTGAATAACAGAATAATTTACAATATGTCTAATACTGACACAAACATCATTATACTTGTTAAAGAGATTAATGTCTATTTGGATCAAGTAAGTCGGTGAATGAAACACTTTTGTTTGAATCGAAAGGTTCGAGTCTCACTGTAAAATTCAACATTAAAATACAAGTAGATCTAACTGATAAATCTCAAATAAGATCTTAGATTTTACTGATAGCCACAGATGATTGCTGGTATTTGATTTGAAGTTACGTTGTTTTATGCAAAAAAAGACTATTTCAGGATAATCTCATCGATCATTACGATATTTACTGACAAGGTTCGGAAATAGTTTACATTATGAACTGACAGGTAATGGAAGTTTGGGAAGAGTGAATATCTGTTTCTTTCCGATTTAGGACCCTTATCAGTGGATATCCAAAACCCTGTTACAGATTATACTCAAGAACTTTGTTTCATAGAGACTTTGTTCTTCTTAAACAGAGTAAGTGAGATTGTTTAATGCCTCATTATTCGAAAATTCAATCAGTTCGCTATAATGACCGGCGGTTAGAAAAAAAAAACACTAATCAAGTTGACAAATAATAAGATGCTTTTTGAATGAGGTCGTTTATGGCTAACAGTGAAGTCTAAGATGCACACTTCATTTTATTTGAGATTTGTCAGTTAGATCTACTTGTATTTTAATGTTGATATTCATATTGAAAATCAAACTTATTGACTTTCGATTCAAACAAAAGTGCTTCATTCACTCATCTCTTTAAGAAGTTTAATGATGTTTGTGTCAGTATTAGACATGTTTCAAATTATTCCATTGTTCATATTCTGAACAGACTTTCATACATGAACTAAGATCAATCAAAATTAAGCCTTGAATATTAACTACACCATCATTCAAACTCTCATAATAATGTAATTAGTAGGTAGGATATAATGTATTTTATTTTCAATGAAAGAATTTCATATCAATGACGAATACAATGATGACTTCAATGAACCCTACAATACACTCTTGATTATAAAATCATATGAATACACGGATAATATGTAAGAGGAATAAACCACAACCGTTGTACATAGATAGACAAAGTAATATTATCAACGTGTGTAAATAATCAACTCAATGTTTAATCATTTAGTGTACAAACAGACATAAACTACATCATGATTGGTTAGTGAGAAAAAAAAATAAGACAGAATTTTTTCATTACACTGTAGATTAGTATGTATCGTGTTTTATCAATCAATAAAATGTGACTTCATTTGCATCTTATTGTCATATTGTTTTTTTATGTGATATTGATTATTACGACGCAATGTCATAGTGTATGTATTATGCTGCAGACTAACATAAAAACGCGTACGCGTATATTCTCATACAAATATGTGATTAAGTGTATGTTTGTGTGGAAGTTGGCATTTATCAATTCACGATCAGTGTTCTCAATCTATGTGCTTATCACATTAATTCAAAATTATGCATAATATCAATGATAATTTAATTCTTTTCGGTTGTTGTACATGTGGACATTTGGTTGCTTAGATACACATATATGTGATGTAAAGAAGAAATGTTTTTGTTCGTTCATATAGTGTAGTGTTGATAATTTGAGAATTTTAAGTATTTACATTATCATATTGTGTTGAAAACTTAATGGACAAATGTAAACTATTCGCATTATTGAATTATGGAGATGGTTGTTTGTTTTACTTTGGGATTATCAATGAATCATTGTTAGACCATCATTATGAATTTTAAGAATCTGATATACTTTAGCAATAGGGAATAGTGTATTCACTTATTGACATAAACGTACGATCATCTGGAATTGTCACTGAGCAACTAATGTAAAATAGCTGACTACATCGAACCCATCCGTAGCTGCTACCTTGACGTGGTGGTCGGGCTTGCCTATCGTGATAACCCAACCGAACTATATTTGCTGAAACATATGTTCCTGAAGGTTCTAACATGACAGGCAGGTCGATTGGAGAACGATGAGACTAAAAGCAGTTACTAAAGGTTTGAGGGCGAAGTCGTACTGCTGACTGCAGAGGGGCGTGACAGCAGTAAGGTGTTTCCCTCGGACAACCAGCATCTGCAGCAATGTTGCCTTCTCACAAGGAAGCAAGGGTTAGAAAAGGTCGAGCATAAAGATGTCCACACCTCACCCTACCATTCACGGTATTTATCCGTCTCCGGCGGTAAGGGTGCCCACAAGGGCCTTTAAAGAGCGGATGCTAATACTCAAAAAACCCTTCAGAAAAAGGCCGTGGCCTGATGGACCGGCCCTGAAAAGCAAGTTGTCCCTTGGGCCTATCTTGCGGTCAAGCTCCCAAGGTCTCCAAGACCAACACTAATCTATCTTCCTTTTCAGGTCCCTCAAGAAACAACCTTCCACGGTGTGGGCAGCCAGGAAGTGATAACCGCCCTCATACCTGTAACAGCACGAGAAACCAAATTAGTCAAAATCAAATCCTTCCTGCACCCCCTAATACCTATCTTATCTCCACGACTAACTCTTCTCACATTCTTTTATGACAGTGCACAGCTAACCCAGACGATGCGAGTTCGCGAAACGTCATTCCTGGTCTCCTTAAACCCCGTTCTAAACTACATGTTGGAGCATTCAATGTACGGACATTGTGTCAAATAGGGCAACAGGCATCATTAGCTAGGACTTTAGAATCTCACTCAATCGATGTGTGCTGCGTCTCGGAAACGCGCATACAGGATCCGAGTAGCATCACTCATTTGACCTCACCATGTCAAGATAAAGAAGCAGCTCGATTTACTCTTCGTGTATCCGGTAGCCCTGATGCTGCTTCCAGGGGTCTTGCTGGCGTAGACATAGCATTGAGTCGTAGAGCTGAACAATCTCTCCTAGACTGGATCCATGTAGATAGTCGCTTGTGCGCTGTCCGACTTAATGGGACAGTAAGGACTCGTAAAGATAGAGACACTCGTCGTTGCCTCTTCGTCGTATCTGCCTATGCCCCCACTAACTGCAGTTCAGACGAGGTGAAAGATGAGTTTTACAGAAAGCTTCCGGACCTCCTATAAAAAGCTAGGCGCTCTGATGTAGTGATAATGGCTGGTGACTTTAATGCTCAAGTTGGTAGACTAAGTGAAAATGAAAGACACCTGTGTGGATGTTATGGTGTTGTGGCCCAGGGAACAGACAAAGGCGACCGTCTGTAGCAACTATCGAACTGATGGATGCTCGAAAACTCATCCCGCCTGGCTCTGACGGCTTTGAGGAGCGGAGTCAGCTTAGACACAGGCTGACAAAAAGCCTACGCAATGATCGAGAACAGTGGTGAGTGGAGAAAGCAAGAGGGATGGAAAAGACAGTGGTCCAGTTTTACCAGCTAGGTTGACTGAGACCTTAGGTAGAATCTGGGAACTGGACGTAATCCCATCCGACTGGTCTCAATCACTGATTGTTCCAATCTATAAGAAAGGACAAAAGTCTTCTTGTGACAATCACAGGGGAATAAGTCTAACTAATATAGTATCTAAACTTTTGGCCTCAATAATACTTCGACGCTTAACGAAAGCACGCGAAGTGCATACCAGAGACATCCAGGCTGGTTTTCGACCTGGACGTGGCTGTATAGACCACGTCTTCACACTACGACAGGTCCTGGAACACAGACATATATTTAGGCGTCCTGCAATAATTGTCTTCCTGGAACTTAAGGCAGCATTTGACTCAGTGGATTGTGAGGTTTTGTGGCAGTGTCTGTCATTAAAAGTTGTACCAAAGAAGTACAATAACCTCATACAAGCTCACTACTCGAACACCACTGGTCGAGTGAGAGCTTATGGCGTACTGTCATCTGAATTCTCTATATCAAGTGGTGTCCGTCAGGGGTGTCCACTTTCTCCATTCTTGTTTAATTTTATAATGGACATGCTCCTAGAAATAACCTTATCCTCGTCTGAATTTTCTGGAGTAGACCTTTTACCAGGTGGCTCGCTTATTGACTTAGAATATGCCGATGACATTGTCCTACTTAGTGAAGACGCTGACAAAGTGCAAAGTCTTCTGACCACACTATGCAAAAATGCAAGCATGTTCGGGATGCGGCTTTAACCCTTGAAATGCAAAATGTTGCTTCAAGATTGGATTGCATCGGTACCTGAAGTAGTGATAGGGAGTGAAGTAGTCGAACGCGTAGACCGGTTCACTTATCTTGGGAGTCTCATCAGTGCTGATGGCCTGGTGAC